CCGCAAGGCAGAGGTGCAGCCGCACCGCGCACGGACCGGCGGCGTCCTGGGATGCGGCCACCTTTGGTCCTTGGTTTGAGTCCCCACCCCCCCTCGGGGTGCCTGTGGGGCTCAGGGAGTGGGGCTGCCCACCTGCCTCCAGTGGGATGGGAGCGTAGCCCCCCAGAGAAAGCGGCCTTCAGCCCAAGGGCCGTGGCCAAACCCTCCTGTGTCCACCCGTGGGAGCTGGCGAAGCCCCGGCCAGGGGTTGGGTGCTGAGGCCTGGGGACGGCCAGGCGCCGCCGGCCCATCGCTGAGAGGAGTGTAGTGTGGGGGTAGGGGGACCGGCCAGGCTGGGGGAGTGCAAGAGCAGCTGCCTGGGAGCACCAGGGCTCAGCCGGAGGGGACAGGGCGGGCCTGGGGGTAGGAGCAGACAGGAGCCCCAGGACGGGACCCCGTCCACCCCTCTCCGGGTTCAGGAGGGGACCCGGGAGTCCCAGCGCCACCCCTCTGCAGCTTCGTCTTCATTTCAAAATAAACATTTTTTTTGCTGGGGGGTGGTGCCACCTCCTGCCTGGCCCCGCAAAGCCCGCCTCAGAGCAGCGGGGAAGGCAGCTGGGACACGTGGAGCCACACGATCTCCTGCACCACGGGGAGACGGTGGGAGGCTGTAGCACATCCCTGTCCCACAACGGTGCCTGGTGGGGTCTGAGCAGCCCAGCCCGGGGAGGGAAGCTTCTGGCCCTGCAGAGTCCTGGGAAGGCACCCACCATCCCACCGAGGGGTCTGCGCTGGGAGGGAGAGCAGGGCTGGGCAGGATGGGACTCTGCCGGGCTGGGGGAGCTCCCAGGCAGGGGAACGGGCCCGCTCAGAGCTCCACCTGCCCCTAGCCAGGTCCCTGCCCCCTTGGTGCCCCCTGCTGCAGCAGGGCCAAGGTGCATCCCCAGCTCACCGCTCGTGACTGCGGGCTGGCCCTGCACCTGCGCTCAGAGGTCCCAGTTACGGTCCATGGCTTCCCCGGCTGGGGCACGAGGTGGGGCAGGCTGGGGGGCTCACTGCTCCTCCAGCCAGGAGGGCTTCTCAGCACCAGGGGTCTTCAGCTTGATGTTGAACTGCTTGAGAGTCTGCTCCAACTGCTGCTGGTTCCCAGCGAAGTAGGCAGAGATGGCGTTGTGAAAGAGCAGGAGCTGCTTGTGCATCACCTTGATCTGGGGAGAGCGGGAGTCAGCACACAGCCACCCAGCCCCACTGCCCAGCACCTCGGGACGGCAGGAACGGGCCAGGACAAGGTCTGCCCAGCTCAGAGCTGCAGCAGCCAGCTGGGAGGCGGTCACCCACCACAGGTGGAAGGCAGGAGCACGGGTGCCCACCCACCCTTGCCCTCACAGCTCCCTGGAAACGCATCGAGCAGCAAGGCTGCGCAGCCCGCAAGGCAGGCCCAGGGACACGCGCGCACAGCAGAGCCCCGTCCCGTGCCCCGCGGCCTTCCCCACCTTGTTCTCCTCCAAGAACTTGAGCTTGATGGCCACGTCGGCGCGCAGCTTTTCGTACTTGTCCTTGTGGCTCTGGAACTGGCTCTGGGCTGCATCCAGCCGGCACAGGGTGCTGGCATCCCGGGGGCCCATGCTCAGCTCCTCCAGGTCCGTGCGGTACGCGTCGTACTCCAGCCTGTGCAGGAACCCTGGCAGTCAAAAAGCGACAGAGCGGCGCCCCCAGCACCCGCAGCCAGGCCTGCAGGCCACACTGCTGTCCTACCTGGCTGTCTCGTACTGCTTAACTGTCATGAGCGTGTCCTCCATGGTCTTGTTTACCAGCGTGTTGATACTGGACACGAAGAAGTTAACAGCTCCCAGTAGCGTTTCCCCATTCTTGCAAAGCAGTTTCTGTGTTTCTGCATTGTAACCGAACTCCTCCTGGTGCGGGGAGGAAGGTGGGTGAGGAGCTGGGCAGCCTGCGATGCCCCCGCCCTCCTATTGCCTATTGCCTTGCCCCAGCCGTGCCAGGAAGAGCCAGCAGTGAAAGCCCCCCACCTCTCCCCAGCCCCACACCAGCCACAAAGCACGTCTGCCCTCAGCCTCCTCCCGCCTTCCCTCACGTGCCCAGGGGTGCCAACCCGCGGTGCTGCCCAGGCCATGCTGCAGAGACCCCGGGGTCAATTTGGTTCTCCTTCCCCGGCACGGCACAGACAAGGCACGCGCCACAGCCCCCCCGGGATACCTGCAGCTCAGGAGACTTCTGGCTGAGGTCCGCAAAGGCATCCCCCAGAGCGTGCTGCGTCTGCACCAGGCTGTAGAAGTGGTTGGTGAGAGCCCGCGCCAGCTGCAGCACGCACTCGTACTTGCGCTTGGTTTCGCGGAGCAGCTCGATCTGCGTCTCCAGCTCCAGGTCCACCGTGCGGGAGCCCCGGCCGAACCTCTCAGAGAGCAGCTGCTTGGTGCACTGCAGGCAGAGAGGTGGTCAGGCCCCGCTCCCTGCCCGGCCCCAGGGCTGCACTGGCATCCAGATGCGCCCCTCCTGCGCCGCAGCTCCCTCAGCCCCCGCGCAGCTCTGCGCCCCGCTGCGACGCACCTTGTATGTGTTGATGCCCCACTTCTTGACAATGTCAAACTTCTCCACGGCGATCCCACGGACAACCTCCTCTCCTCCGACCGGTGGGCCGGGGTGAGGCTGATGAAGCCCAGAGCCTGGAACACAGCACACCGACGAGACTCAGCACGGGGCCTGCACACAGGCCGGGCCGCCCGCCCCGCATCGCAGTGCCCTCAGGGCCTGGGCCTGACACAGCGCGAGCAAAGCGGGCTCCTGCTGCAAATCCACCCTGGGCAGCCCCTCATGATGCGGGCAAGCGGCGCCTCCCCGCCAGTCAGCACTGCTACCAGGCTCAACAGAGCCCTCGGTGCTGCGATTTGTCATCTGCCTGCAGCAAGCAGGACTTGGCCTCTCGCAGAGGAGAACCTGGTCCCCAAAACCTGTCTAGACATTGATAACCAAGGCCCCGGTGCTGACAGCAGTGGCTGCTGCCTTCGTGGCAGGTGCTGCCCCCCCATCTGCTTGAGGAGCTGCTGGCAGGGACGGCCCTGCATGCCTGGCCTTGGTGCTCCCGTGCTGGCAGTGCTCCTCGTGCTCCTGAGCACGGTACGGCTGGGGGAGAGGCCAGGCAGGCACACGGTGCATCCCACAGCCAGGCACAGCTCAGCCTCATTGCCTGGTGCTCCGTGGTTTGGAAGCGCCGTGCGCGACCCCAGCACAAGGGCTGAGAGAGGCCACAGCTGCCGGGGGAGGCACACATCGGGCTGCCCTCCACCGCAGCGGGGCGGAAGCTGACCCTGAGAAACACAGCACACATCGGGTGCCTTAAGCCGGGGCCAAAGGCCCAAGCCTGAGACAGGAGGGCTGAAAGGCTGCGTGGCACCACGGGGCGGCTGCAGTACCTGCTGAAGCACCGGCCTGGCTGGCCATCCTGCTGGCGGCAGATGCACTGGGGGAGATGGATGGTCCTCGGGGTGAGTGAGGTTGGACAAGACAGCCTGGAAACGGAGGGGCTGGCAGGAGGTGAGCAGGGAGGGAAGAGGTGGGGCGGTGTGAAAGGCACGAGGGCAGGAACAACCGGGTCACAGGATGAGCGTGCAGGAAGGATGGCAGCAGGGGAGCAGACGAAAGAGTGATGTGAAATCAGTAGGCACAGATGGCAGCTGGACAGACAGCATCGCAGCAGAGGCACCCAGGCTCCTCTCCTGCTTCCTCCCCGTCCCCAGGCTGGTGTCAAGATGCCACCAGGCTGAGAGCTGGGCCAGGCCAGGGCTGACAGACACAGGGAACCACCGCACCATGTTCCCCCCACCACAGCAGGCTATCAGCAAAAGCCCATCTCCCCTCAGCCTGTGTCGATTCACCTGTTCAGCCTGGCACAGCACAGAAGGGCCGTGGTGAAAACAGCTGTTTGCAGCAGATGGGCCAAACTGGCCAAGAGCTGGGACAGAAACTTGTGTGAAATGGGAACAGGGTGAGAGTGACAGATGGGGCAGAGCTGCTTTGGCTGAGCTCACTGTGGCTCCAGGCGTGAAGCAACAGCAGCTCCCCACAAGCCCGTAGATACCATCCCTGCAGCACGGAGCATTTACAGCCAGGCTCAGAAGTGCCTGAGGCTCCCAGGCTGGCAGCAACAGCAAAAATGGGGCATTAAGGCAGAGTCTGGGGCTCAGCACCCCTCTGCCCTGTCCCCCTCTGCCTGAAAGGTGTCTGTTGGGCACAGTCACCACAGCTCAGCCACTGCTGTGCATCTTCAGGGCTCCTCCCCAGCACCAGAAGGATGCCCAACAGCTGAGCCCATGCATCACAGACCAGGGCCTCAGGAAAGCAGAGCAGCTCCCTCAGCGGAAGCCCTGCATCTACACAAGAGCCAGAAACCTCCACAGCTGCCTGTAAGTCTAGGGCACGTGTAGGGTAGGGAGTGCAGCTGGGTGGAAGTCACAGCCCCACACCAGCAGGTGGGTGGCAGCAGTGCTGTGCACTGGGGCTGTGAGGAGGCTGTGACTCAGGACAGCCTCAGCTGGGAGCAGAAACACTGCGACTGGTCCTGTCCAAGGGTGCAGCAGGGTGGCCTGTGCTGTGCTCTGCTCCTCGCCCCCGGCACCGAGCCCTTCCCTAAGCCCTCCACCAGGCCACCCAGGCTCACACCTCTCACAGCCTTGTCCCCATGGAAGCTGTCATACCTTTGATGGCGCTGGTGGGGATGATGCCCTCAGCGGTGCCCCCGTAGCCGCCAGACACGATGCTGGTTTCGTTGAGGTTGGGCCCTGATACCATCACTTGCTGCAGGTCCTGGGGGAGCAGAGCAGAGAGTTGAGGCATAGGGACAGGCACCCGCTCCCTGGCAATGATGCGAGTCCCAGCCCAGCCCCACACCTGCTCCAGGCCATCGTCCTCAGGCAGACTGCCTGCATCCCCGTTGCTGCTGATGGGGATCTCCATGGTGGCAGCTTTGCTCATGATCCCATCCGACATTGTCAGGGCCTGCAGGGATGCAGAGGCTGTGCACGGGGCCGGGCCGCTCCGTGCCTCTTCGTCCTGCCGAGGGAGGGCCGCGCACCCTACAGTTCCTGGCGCGGGGCCCGGAGCCGGAGCCAGGAGCCACGTCCGCAGTGCGAGGCAGGGCCGCGGCCGGACCGGTCAGACCGGATTCCAAGCATCAGTGCACGCTCTGGGCCGGCCCCGAGCGCCGTTACCTCGAGCTGAGCCCGCGGCTCGAGGCCAGCACGAAGGAAGCTCCGGGCCCCTTCCGGGGCTCACAGCCGCCGCTCGGACCCCAACCGAGGCACGACCCCGGGGAGGAGGAAGAGGAGCAAGAGCAGGAGGAGGAGGAGGCGGCGGCCGGCGGCAACCCGAGCATCCACGGCTGCCAACACCAGGCAGCACCGGATCGGGGCCCGGAGCCGCAGGGCCGGGTTTCTCACAGCGCGGCCTCTGGCAGGGCCGGCTCCGTTCGGCGGCCCCGGGACTCCCAGGCCGGCGCCTCCCGGGACCCGGCGCGGCCGCCCGCAGCCCCGGCCTTTACCCCGGCCCTCCCGACCCGGCCTCGCCCACCTGCACCGCCCCGGCCCCGCTGGGCCCCCCGACCCGGAGGCTCCGCTGCCCCGATTCGTTTCGGCCCGGACGCGCCGGAAGCAGCGTCAGGATCCGCGCGGGGGGTGCCGGGAGACGGAACCGGAGGTGACGTCAGATTTGGCGCCCCGGGCGGAAGTGCCGCGGGGCGCGTGCGCGTCCTTCTCGGAAGTGCGGCGCGGCGCGGCATGGAGGCAGCGGCGGCTGAGCAGCAACAGCAACTCCGCAGCGTGAGGGCGGGGCGGGATGGCGCTGGGTGGGGGCGGGCGGCTCGGCTCGGCTCAGCTCAGCTCAGCTCAGCTCGGCTCGGCTCGGCCGTGCGGGCCCTGTGACCGTGCGGGCCGCTGTTTTGCAGCTGCGGGACTTCCTGTTGGTGTACAACCGCATGACCGAGCTCTGCTTCCGCCGCTGCGTCTCTGATCTCGGTTACCGGCTGCTGTCGCGGCGTGAGGTGAGCGGGGCCCGGCCGGGGGGTGGCGGTGTGCGGCAGGGTTGTGCTGAGCCGTGCTGAGCCGCTCCGCCCGCAGGAGCGATGCCTGGACGGCTGCGCCGGGAAACTGATCCGTGCCAACCACCGCCTGATGGGCGCCTACGTGGCCCTCATGCCCAGCATCGTGCAGCGCCGCGCCGCCCGCCTGGAGGACGGCACAGAGCGGACGGCACCGGACGGAGCCGAAACGCCCGCGGCCCGCGCGGCTCCTGACAGCTCTCCCGCGGGGCCCTCAGGCACGTAGCGGAGCCGCGGGTCCGGTGTGCCTCCGTGGCTGTGAGGTGGGTGCGGAACGGCCCGGGCCCGGCACGGCTGCCAGCGGCACGGCCGGCCCCCTAATGGCAGCCTCGGTGTGGAGCGGCAGAACTGCTGAGCACCGCGGCCGGACCGCGCAGAGCCCGGTTCTCCTCTGCGTCTGCACCGGCAGCCAGGCCTGCCCACCCCGGTGGCCTCAGCCAGCAGCAGTCTGCCAGTGCTGCGGGTAGAAAGAAGGGAATCAGTAGCAGCTGCTGCTCTGGCCAGGAGCTCCCGGCTGAATTCTCTATTGCTCCAGCGCCGGGCTCTCACTCTCCAGAACTGAGCCTTTTGTATCTGTAGGACATCATTTCATGGGGCTAATAAAACATTTCATGAGTGTTGTGCTGTTAGCGTGGCATGGAGGCACACAGATGTTGCTCCACAAGTACCCCTGCACAGTGCATCCTGCTGGGGCAAGGGCACCTTCCCCTGAGCGAGGGCTCACATTGCTCCACTGCTCCTTCTAGGAACCCTTCCTTACTCTGTGTCCTTGCTGCGTCAGAACAGGCTGCAGGCTCCCATCCCTGCAGGCATTCAAGGCCAGGCTGGATGTGGCTCTGGGTAGCCTGGGCTGCTGGTTGGCAACCTGCACACAGCAGGGGTTGGAGCTGGATGAGCGCTGTGCTCCTCTGCAACCCAGGCCATTCTAGGATTCTATGATATGATCCTATGATCAGGATGCTCTGTTCTCTAGCTTCCTCCTGATGTGTTTAATTGGCGCTTTGAAGCACAGACAAATGCACACAGATGTAAGGTCTTTAATTGTCAGTAATCAAGACAAATTGGAATTCACTGCTTAAGCTATGGGAAAAAAACAAAAATCTGGTTAAAATTGCAGCCCCCTAAGATTGTTTTCTACTCTGTGGGCAAGGTATGGATTGGATATGTTCTCTAGCGAGTGCATTAGCTGCCAGGGGGAGCACCAAGCTGCACCACCCACCAAGGTGGGCTCCTGCTGCACCCTGCTGCACCATCTCTGCCCTCCTCTCACAGCATCCCAGGCACAGCCCCACTTTGGGATTTTCTCCTCTCACAGGAGGCAGCCTGTGGCCACAGACCCAGCTGTGCACAGGGAGCCAAGGCCGTGGCTGCCGGCTGCGTGCAGATAGCAGCTGTGTGGGAGGAGGGCTGGGAGCTGTGTGAGCAGAGCCAGCTGTGAGCAGTGCCAGCTGTGTGAGGTGCCCACGGCACTGCAGTTGGTCGGTGCTTGAAGGTGGGGATCTGAACAACCCAAATTTGGGAAGCAAAGGCAGGCATAGAAGTGAAGGAGCTGGGCCGTGCCGATGGCTACACAGGACAGCGGTGCACCAGGCCTCTTGAGGAGCCCTGGGTGTACAGGGAGGGATGCTGCCCTGCACTGTCTGGGCTGTGCTGGGCTGCTGGAGGCAGTGTTACTGCACGGCAGATTCCCTTTGCTCAGCCCCAGCTACGGTGTGCGTCACTGCACATGGGGAAAGCCTTTCCTTTGGGTCTACCCTTGTGATGGAAAGGCTTCCTTTGGGTCTAGCAGCAATTTTCCACGTTCAGCACTATGTGATGTACAGCCACAGCCTATTTGTGTCAGTGGAGAGCTGCACCCTCCTGTCCTGGCGCAGTGCAATGTGACACAGTGAAGTCTGACATGGCACTGCACTGCACAGCACTGCACTGCACTGCACAGCACAGCACTGCACTGCACAGCTCTGCACAGCTCTGCACAGCTCTGCACTGCTCTGCATGGCACGTCTTGCCCCATCTGCAGAGCTGTTGCCTGGTGTTGGCTGAGGCTGCTGTGTCGTGCTGTGCTCTGCCAAGGGACTCTGCTGCCTGTGACTCATCTGTGCTGACTGCCAGCCCCCAGCCCCTGGCCTGGCCCCCATCCCAGCTGTGTTCCCTTATCCAGCCCATACTGCACCAGTCTGGCTGACGTACGCTGGGACTGGAAAAAGCATTGCCAGAATGAACGTACATCAAATCTGCTGTGCTCGCTGCTGCTCCCCCTAAACACACTGCAGTGTGCACTTCAGCCACGGTGTCTTTGTACTTAGTGGGCTCTGCTGCATCCTTCTTCCATTAATTTATAGATTTGCTTTTTGAACAACGCTGTACCTGCAGTCAGGTTGTCGCATCCATAGCTGCACTTCGTGTGAAAACTGCTCTGCCCTCTGCCTGTGCTGCTGAGCCTTCCTGCAGCCTTCAGCCCCGAGAGAACAGACAGTGGACTCTTCCCCACCCTGTGGCTTTGGGGACCTCTTTGGTTTGTGCAGCCTCAAATAAATGGGTCTCCTCCCTCTGCAGGCTGCTGCTCAGACCGTTCTGATGTTCTGTGCCTCTGCCATCTCCTGGAAGCTTTTCCCCCAGAGGGTGGTGAGGCAGTGGCACAGGTTACCCAAGAAGGCTGTGGATGCCCCATCCCTGCAGGCATTCAAGGCCAGGCTGGATGTGGCTCTGGGCAGCCTGAGCTGCTGGTTGGCGACCTGCACACAGCAGGGGGTTGAAATTAGATGATCGTTGTGCTGCTTTGCAACCCATGATTCCTCCGTGCAGACCCAAATTCACACTGCTGAGCTGTGCCCTGTGCTCTGCTCTGCTCCTGCCCTGCCCACAGTTACAGCTGCGATGTGACCTGGAAGGGAAGCAGACACCTCCTCATTCCTTTTGGACGTCAGGTCCTTGGGAGCTCCACTGCTTGGATAGCAGGACGGCTGTAAATGCAGAGGCCCATGGGCTGAGATAAGGGCAGTTTGCACACGAGCAGAAGCTGTGTGTGAGTGAACAGAACGAGGAGCTGCTCGGCCCGTCCCTCGCACAGCAGCGGCTGCCACACAGGAGGCGCCGTGGGGACAAATGCCAACCCTCTCCATGTCCTGTTGGCTCTTATTGCTGGAGCTCAGTGTAAGCACAGCTCAGAGCGTTACCAGCATTACTCACAGCCTGCCCCAAAACGCAGCACTATGCCTCCAGCTGGGAGGAAAACCGCAGCCAAAAGCAGGAAACACACGGTGCATCACCTGCATCCCCCAGTGCCACGTGCACACAGCCCCCAAACGCCCCCAGGGATGGAGGCCCCACCGCTGCAGGCTGCCCCTATGCTGACAACCTTCTCCTTAAAGAAACTCCTCCTCGTGATTGATGAAAGCATCCGCAGCACAGCCTGGGCTGAGTAGCTGTATATGTAGGAATCAAATCCCTGCTCCTGGATTCTTCAGACAAGTGATCGGCTCCACAGCCTCCCCCAGACCTCAGAGCTGTGCCCTCCGTGTGTGTTGATGCACCGCTGCATACAGGGGATCCCCTCATGCTTCCCTGGAGCTGCTGGGTGCTGTGCTGAGCCGTGCTGCGTGCTGCAGAGCCCAGGTGCACGGTGCACAGTGTGCACGCTGTCGTTTCGGTGCCATCTGCTCATTGCACACGTGGGGGCTTCTTCCCCACTTTCGTGGCATTGCTTTCCATTTCCTCTGGGCAGCCTGCTCTGCTGGTTGGTGACCCCGCACACAGCAGGGGGTCGATACTGGATGAGCATCGCGCTCCTTTGCAACCCAGGCCACGCTGTGATTCTGTGATTCCGCACCTCCGGGCGCTGCCTGCAGCCGGGCGGCTCTGCTGGATGCGGGACAGCCGGGCTCCGAGCGCTCCGGACGGCGGCGGAGCTCCGTCTGCAGGCGGAGCGCAGCGCGGACATTCGCTCACGTTTGCCAGGTGGCACCGCGGCCAAAAATGGAAGCAGACCCCGTTCCTCCATCCGTAGAGCGGCGTTCCTCGCAGCACCGGCAGGGCTCGCTCTGGCGTCGCGATGAGGCTCCGAGGAAGCTGTGAGGGCGCTCCGGGCAGCCGGGAGCCGAGCGCCGGGCCAGGAATGCGCGGCTCCGCACGGCGCTGCCCTTCGCCTTCCGTCTGCGAATCCCTTTGCTTCTCCCGCAGCCCCGCTCGGGGTCACCCGCTCAGAACAGCTCTCAGCTGCCCGTTTCGCCGCTTTGTGTCCTTCGTTCTCTCCTCGTTCTCCTTTGCTCTCCCGCAGCCCTGCTGATCCCGAGCCGCGCGCTCGGGGCTGCGATGCCGTGAAGGGCCGCTCGGTGCGCGGGCACAGCGCGTGGGTTTGCAGGTTCCGGCAGATGGGACACAGAGGGTTTTTCTCTCTGGCTGCGAATCGCCACCATTGAGGCGGATTTGTGCTCGTGGCCGCCGCCCGCGCAGCAATTTGTGTGCAGCGTGGAAGCCGAGCCGGCGCGGGACATCGCTGCGGACATCGCTGCGTGCCGGGCGCTCCTGCGGGCTCCGCAGGGGAAATGAGTGCCGCGAACACACGGGGTGTGCAGGATGGATGGCGAGGGCAGAGGGGGGTTGGC